CCCCTCAATTTTTTTTTTATGTGAGATGACATTTAGCTACCACTATACTAAGTTGATAAATGTGTGAGGTGGTTTCATGCGTACAGGAAATGGGATTGAGGGAGATGAGGATTTCTGGAAGTCTGGATTCTGTTAGAAGATTAAAGGTAAATTTGGAAGCATTTTTATTCTGGATACTGCTGAATTAGTGCTGTCATAGATAACTTACCCTGGGACTTATAAATATATTTGTGGTGAGGAGCACTTCTGATCTCTGGAGTTCTGCCAAGCAACAAGCATTTTCAAATAGTCCTTGTGGGAAGTGATGGGAGCCCTATAGCGATGTCTCCAAATGGATCCAAGTTGTGAATTGCAGTATTGCCAATATATTTCTCAGGAATCAAGTCTGTATTGTTGTAGCATGTTTGCTTAACTGTGTTGTTGCCTGCTTTCTTCTTTGATTAAAAGAGGGTGCTTTTTTACTCAAGTGATCAGATTGCTGCTTCCTTTTCTTTGCCTTCACTCCCCTGTGTAGTAAGGCTTATCTGCAATTTGCAGTGAGCCCCTTCTTCAGCCTAGGAACAATGCACCACAGTGGCTGGAGAGCTAGCTGACAGAGATAGTACAGTTACCTTTGCTAAGGGTTGGATCTTCTGGCAGAGAAAACGACTACTTGTTGCACTGGAGCTACCCTTGCTTGGCCTGACAGTCTTGGCCAAATCTTGTGTGATGCACAGCTTCATGGATGAAATAACGAATATTGTTTTAGTGCAGGTACAAGAGAAGCCGTAATACCAGCATGTGCATTAAATTTGTGTATTAGGGACAGTAGCTTCATCTGAAATTTGTTTTGAAATGTGAGTGCATCCAAATATGGATATATGCTGCTGTTACTGCATCTCTAAGATGGATTAACTCTGAAAACTGAAACAGCTTCTGTCGACAAAAATGCAAATGCTGTTGTCTCTGCTAATCATTAATTACTGTTCCATAGGCAAACAAGATGGGAATTGTAAAGAATTCTGCAGCCCTGAGCAACTCAGGATCTCAGCCAAAATGCTTCTGTGATGCTAAATGAGTTTTCTGCAGTATACCTTGGCCAAGCACTAAAAGCCATAACTGCAGCCTTCTATGTTTCCATAGCACAAGAGCTGCATACGTTATTATTGATGAAAACACTTATTAATAATTCACAGGTTTAAACTTATGTACAGACAAGTGGCCAAAAGGACTTGTAAAAATGCTATCCTCTTTATCTCCTGATCATGTATTAAATCTTTTCTTTTTACAAAATACAAAAATAGACTAGCTTTACTTATTCAGATGACTCCTGATTTGCAATATGGTTGTAAAGACAAACGAGAGATGTTTCCCTATAAAGTAGAATTTCCTAAATACAGGAAAATTTAAGACAGTAGCAGGTTTTTTGAACTTTCACAGTATGAAGAAAAATTAGACTTGGTTCTCAGTAAATTTCACAGAGGAAATAAGAATCTCCCTCTGTCCCCCAGCTAAAACACACCTTTCATGCAAGGATCTGGCCTCTTCCAAAAGCTTGTTGTGAAGCTCTTCAACTCCTATTCCTATTAAGAACTCCAGTTCCAGTTATTTCTTCTTCTCTTGCCCTTTCACGTTCTCCATCTATTTCTGTAGACGTGAGATCTTGGACTAACTAGCACCTTCCTGTTGGCTCCTAGTACAACCAGTGGACAAGGGTAGCAGGGCAACAAGTTTGAGCTCCACTTTGCTTCACTGCAGGCCGGCTCATGAGTATTCCTTGGTTATCTTCTCTGCTTTTTCCTTTTCTCGTGTTCTTCTCTGGGTGTTAGTTCAGTGACCAAACTAGGGAAGGCAATCAAAGAATCTTTTGCTTTTCAGAGGCAAAGTGAGGTTCACTTAAACTTTGCTGTTTAACTGGCATGCAGATATAGCTACCAAGTAAGAGAGAATACATGTATGTATATATATTTTTCAATATATATATGCGCTCAACTGGTCTTGATCACCATGGGCAGATGATTATATTGTAGGGGAGCTGAGTCACTTCTCTGAAAGAGAGAAATGGAAGTGGTAAAACAAAGAGCCTTTAAACCGACATTCTTGAGAAAGCACGGGCTGGAGAGAGGAACACATCAACGTGCTGCTGCCGAACTAGAATAGAGCATTTTAACAGTGGGAGTAAGGGAAGTGACTGCAGAGAAGAGGAGGAAATTCCATAGTGTGGAGGAGAAGCCATGCCCAGGAAGGATGCTGGATTTAATCCTGAATGAATTACAAAGGATATTCAGTGACTGAAAAAATGAGCTAGAGAAATATCTGTAGCTTTTTCTTTATTTTGTCCTAATCTGTGTCTTTTGTTAGCTACTGAAAAATGCAGTTAATTTCATATATTAATTATTTAGGTTTACGAAATTGATATAGGGAGAAGCAAGATTTAAGCTTGAAACTCTAGACAAGGGTGAACTTATGTGTGTTGGTTTTGCGTGGCAAGGTT